ATTTTATAAACAGAGCGACTTTTCCTGCTTAAATCTTTAAATCTCGGTTTTGAATGTAACGGATTGTTAATGGATGGCGCCAAAAAACAAAATAAACGTACAGCTGGTGACTTCTCACACTCTTTTCCTCATCCCCCTCCTCCCACTCAGCTTTGATTATAATAATAATCCGATTATAATACAAATGTATTCCTAATTCCATCCCTCTAACATTTTTACAATGAACATTTAAAGCATTATAAAAGTTTTTTTTTATAGTGACAGATATTAGACATTTTATTATTTTTTTTTTTCCTTTGCAGAGGCAGAACATGGATATGCTTCCCCTCCGCCTGTAGGCGAAGGTAATTTCGATAAAATAAGCAAACAGAAGAACAAGAAGAACTCTGCTGCTGGTGGTAAAAGGTAAATACATTATGTAACAGATTACTGACAGGAGGGTGTGTCTTCAGTCCTGATAAAGAGCCCTGTTTAAACCTTCATGATCTATAACCTGTTTACGGCATTAAAAGCTGTTTCTCATTACAGGACGGTTCACAATGAGCTGGAGAAAAACAGGTACTTATATTTTTCACAACAATTTTGCCCATTCTTTTTTTTTTTTTACTTCCTTGTAAAAGGCATATGAGCGATTCCAAAATTTCTTCACATTGCATCCATAAGTTTGCATGTGATAGACCATGATTAAGAATGGGTAGAATAATCTGAAAGGCAATGCTCAAGGTTTAAAGATTTACAGCTGTGCTCTGACTTCCCGGACTTTGACTGGACCATTTTGACACATGAAAAAGCTTTGGTTTAAACCCGTTCATCTATCTCTGGATGTATGTTTAGGATTGTAATCCTGTTAGAAGCTAAATTTGCAGAAAGTATTTTCTTCCCCCTTATTTAGCTCCATTAATCTTCACATGAACTGATTAATCCTTGTTCCTGCTGGTGGAAAAAAGGGAAAATCCCCCCTACTATTTCACCTTTCTTTGATTTCCTTTTGATCCATGGCATAAAATCAATAAATGTTTTATTGAAAGCTTTTGCTTTAAACATGGTTGTAATCTACAGGCGAGCTCAGCTGAGGCACTGCTTGGAGCAGCTGAAAAAGCAGGTCCCTCTCTCTTCAGACTCCATGAGGAACACCACCCTGAACCTGCTGAGACAAGCCCAGCTTCACATAAAGGTACATCACAGACTCACTTTAAACCTCTCTAACCCATTCATGATTTGTTTTTCCAATATCTTTCTCCATCCTTGTATCTGAAGTTATGTTTTTTATGCGTTTGCTCCCACGTCTGTGTCGTTTTAGAAGCTGCAGGAGCAGGACGAGTGGGCGGAGCAGCTGAAGGACCGCCTTCGCTGGGAGCAGAGGGAGCTTCGGGTTCGGCTGGAGCAGCTGCAGCGGGGAACAGAGAGGATGAGGAACAACAGCCAGGGGTCCACCATGTCCTCGGAGAGGTCGGACTCGGACAGAGGTAAAAAGAAGGATCAAATTATTGTTTTGTTTTTAATTTTTTTACCCTGGTACTGATATCAGCTGTGTTCTATTAATGGGTTTGATCTTGGTTGCGTTACAGAAGACGTGGAGGTAGATGTGGAAAGCATCGTGTTTGACTGCGTGGATTCTGACGGGCTCAGTATAGCACACATGGATGCAGACCACAGTTACTCCAGCCTGGACCGGTCCTGGCTATGACCGCTGTGACCTAAGGTCTGTCAGGTGTATGGAGGGAATTTGGTTTCTTTTTTAATGCAAGCAAAGCCATCATTTTTTAAACTGAAACTTAAAAAGAAGGCATTCCAGAAATGAAACTTTGAAAAAAAAAGGGTTTTTAGATTAACTTTATTAACTTTTTTTTTTCTAAGTGCTTTCAAATTCATTTTTAAATTTGTATTTTTTCCTTTTTACAGATTTTATATTTTCAGATGTATTTTCTCTTTAATTCCCTTTAACATTTTATATTTTCAAATTAATTTATTTTATATAAAAATTTCTATTTTTTAGATTTAGATTTTCACCGTTTTAGTTTTGTTTTTCCGATTGTTTTACAGTCTGCATTCTTTTTAAATGGCATTTTACAGATCACATTCTCTTGAGTCAAGAGTTAAGATGCGTGAAAAGAAAAAAGGAATCTATAGCAACAACATTTTATGAGCAAACTTCAAGTGTGAGTGTTTGTATTTGGCTTGAAGTGGCGAGAATGTGATCTGGAAATAACGAATTAAAAGGAATCGAATTCTTAAGACTCAATCTGTAAAGAGAAATGAACACACACAAAAAAAAGTTTTTAAAAATGAAATGTGAAAGTATAGAATCTGTAAAAAAAACAAAAAAAACCATTTTTTAAAATCCTACAAAAAAATAAATACACATGAAAGATACAGTTGAAAATCTTGAATCTAAAAAAACAACAACAGTTCCGCTCAAAAATCTTTTTTTCTTTTCATTAAAACATCTTCAAAGTTTCATTCTGGTTTGCAATTTGTTTTTAAAATCTCAATTTAAAAATGTGTTTTGTTCTCAAAATTTCCATTTACAAAATGTGATCTTTGCTTGCAACAATAATGGAACAAATGTGACTCCATACATATGGAGGAGAGCTGGAAGAAAACATTCCAAAAACAAGACAGTTATAGAAAAGAAGAGGTCCCTGTACACAACCGAAGCATTTTTTGTTTGTTTTTTAACAGTACAGCTCATCATGTCTCACATTTTAAAAAAAGAACAGGCTAATGTTTCCAATTGCACTAAACTGAGATGGATGTTACAGCATGCATTAGCATTCCTCCGATCAAGCAATGATGTTTTATCCCCAAAGCCATGAGGCGTTAATCCTCCTGTGATTTAAACGTTCAGGTTTAATCAAAAATAAGGGCTTTAATACAAATCTCCTTGGTGTGTGTTGAATTCTGCCTTAAATTCAGATTTAGACTAACGTACTACTCGGCTTCTCCTTAGCACTAAGTTTATATTGCAGCAATGTTTCATTTAGCGAGCACTTCTGTTTTTGTTTTGTCCTATGAAAGTTCACTTCATGTATTTATAGCTCTTTTTCTTCTGTTGCACATAACGTCCAGCCGTTGCACTTGTTTTGTCAGAAAGATTCAGGGTACGGCCAAAGAAGCGGAGGAAAAAAAAAAGGCAACCAGGAAATGAGGGGGAAAAAAACCTCAGTCACATTTGCACGTTGAGGTTTTCGTATCGGCGCACGTTCCCATCTGTATTTAAAACATAGGAGCTTTTTAACACGTTGTGTGATTGAGCGTTTGAGTTACTGAAGAGTGTTGGCCATTGAAAGTGTTCACTTTACAACTAACTCACAGCAGGAAACATTGACTTGTAACGATTATGCAATTAATGCTGATTACAAGCATGTAACAAGGATTTGATAACTGAAGGTGCTTTCTTCTTCACTTTTTGTATATGCAAGAGGCCTTATTACTTTTAGTTTCTCTCCACCCAGTATTGTCATGTAGCATTTTTGTACTGGTGTAAGCTTCTTTTTTATTTTTTAAACAAATAAATATTTTCTATATTTATTCATTGTATTGTCATTATTTAAAGGAATTGGTGAACAAAAAGCACAAAGTCTGAAGAAAACAAACATGCTATGTTTGAAGCAGAAGTGTTTATAAAACCAGTTTTACTAAAACTGTTAGCATCATAGAACCGATCAATCTTTTAAAAAATACAGAAAGGCTTCGGAAGGACGCGGTCTAAAACGACCGGGTCCAGAGGCTGGATTTGAGCAGGTCTAGTCTTTCACCGCCCCACACTCAGGTAAGCTGTTACCTAGCAACCATGAAAGTTGACTCACAAACCTGTCAAAGAATTGATAGTGAACTTCTCACCATTGTTCTGTGGGCTAATTTCATTTCTGAGGAGCCTCAACAGCAGTACCGTTGTTGCAGATATGTTGGTATCTGAGCTTTAATGTCAGCCAAACTCATTCTCACAGGGACAGATAAAACATTTCAATAAATCAAACAGCCATATCTGACCTGACTCACAATCTAAAATCACATTTCTTTAAGACGAAACTATCCCTATACTTGAATTAAACTGCACTTACATTATTTACCACTGTTCGTTGCCATTTTCTCTGAGCACGGAGCAGCTATCAAATCCCTTCGGAGGAAGCAGCCATTGGATTCAAACAAACAGGTTGCTTACCCCAAAGAAAAGGAAAAGTCATGGCCACAATGACATCCCTTGTGGAAGTCTCCTACAGGAAGGTGGTCTATAAACTATTTCTTTTGTTTTTGGATTACTGTAGTTATGCAATTCAACCAGGTCTAACTTTTCTTACCCACTTTTTCCTCCAGTTGTCTATTTTGAGGTGTTTCAGTATTACAGTAAGCCACAGCTGCAATCAAATAGGTTAATGCAGGTTAGAATGGCCTACCATAGTCAAAGTCTACACCTAACCTTATCCAGGAAATGCAGTATTCTTAAAATCTACACTCAAACATTTTGTGATTTCGCAAAAAAAAAAAAAAGTTACATTGTTCAATTGGATTATCACAACAGAACATAAAGTGTGAGCAGTTAGCAAAGCACCTTAGCTCAGGTTGTATGACGCTTGACACCGAAAACCAAATCATGTTAAGGAAATGTCCGTTTATTGACCAAATGATACTTTTATCGTTTGAGCAAGAACAGCATTACAAGGATCAGGGAACTTAGGTACAGATCTTTATGTGACGGCATAAGGGTTTTTAGGATTGGCTGAACTGAACCAACAGGATTGTATTTGGCATTAAAACACTGAAATGAATAACAGAGAACTGACTGGTTAAAGTCATAAAAGGAAACATGATGTACAGAGAACTGGAGTATAAAAAAAGGCAGAACCTGTTGGGTACAGAGGTTGAGCAGTGGCTTAAGGAACACTTCCAATTGTAAATTATCAATTTTATGGCAGCCATAGCCATAATCAACCACCCATTCCAATCATTTCTGTCTGCGGTAAATACTAAATGGACTGTTAGAGGTACAATAAACACAATCAGGGAGGCCAGAACAGGCTCTTGAACCCAGCTCAGGCCTTTTTTTATTATGGTCCACCCACCGCTGTGTCCTCACAGAGACGTTTTCAAACCAAGACTGGGATCTGTTGCAAATCACCCAACAACTGAGTGAACAATCAGAGTGGTTACATGTAAATGTGTCCCAGGGTAAGAGGCTGCAGCTGCTGCATCACACGTATTGTTTCTTCTGCGCATGTGAAGCGAGGTCCTTTGCTTTCTCTTTAGCTGCCAGCGCTGTCTCCCTTGCTCGCTCCGTTGCAGTCTCTGCTAATGTTCTAGATGGAGTTTCACCTGCAGAAAAACAGAATGATCTCTTCAAATGAAACTGGAGTTAAAGCTTGAACTCATGTTTGAAGAAAAAATGACAAAGGTTTGAAAAAGATCCAAACATGCAGATTATTAGCCAGGTGTAGCAAGAAAACATTTAGACTCAATGTTAACAATTAAGGTTTAATAATCATGATTGTTTTGGTCAGCACTGAAATCACAATTATTTATTACCAGATATTGACAGCAGGTTATATTAATTTAACATTTTAATATCAAAATAACCCACTTTTTGCCATATAATTATGTTTCAGTACAACCAAATGGTATTTTTCCCCCCGTCATCAGAAAGAAAAGCTTTTGTTGTTTTTTTTTAAGTTCTAAATGAGACTGTCAGCAATTTGCTTCTACTGACGATGTCTGCAGAGAAAGAACCTGCTGAGGAGGCAAACTAGCATCACCTTTCTTCCCTTTCTATTGTTATGACTCAGATTATTTGCTGTGTCTTATTTTCTGGGGCTTACAGCTAAAAAAGAGCAGACTAAACGACTACTTAATAATCACAGCTGTCAGCCTCAATTTAGCCAATTTAATTCTGCAAATTTCAGAAAAGATTTTATTTACATGTTTGATTACATTCATTTGATAAGAAATTTTTCTTTTTTCTTGTATACTTTTTAATTTCACTTCATGCTTTTAGCAAATGATTACATTATTGTTGTAAATGTATGAAGCCAACATTTCCCTTTTCATATCTTAACCTGAAAACAGGATGTTTAACCGAAGCTCCATCCTAGGTTAGTCGATGTACGTCCTGAAAGGCTGAGTTACCTCCTTGGCACCAGTAATCATTCATTGGTTTCAGCTTTGTTGAAGAAGGGAACCATGCAAGGGAGATCTGATGTCACCTTCTCCCACTCTATCTAGTCATCCGTTGTCTCTATTTGGTTAGTGCGTGCAGGGCTGTGCCTCCAGCAGTCGTTGAGGCGGAGACACGATGCACGGAAGGAAAAGAATGCAAACTCTGCGCGTGGATTTGTACCTCGGACCTTCTTATCTCGAAGCAACAGCGCAAATGACCGCAGCCCTGACGTCTAAACTAAAACTAATAAAATTTAAACATGGTTGACAGAACACAATCTGTCAGCATTTCTGTCTTTTCAGGTTTAAAAGAACTAAAAGTTTTGGCTTTAGAAGATAAGCGAAATCTGTAGGATTTGTATTTATAGACACTAAATGCAATAAACCTACCAAGCCACACATGCAAACATGCAAGACCTACATAAGGAATGACGTTTACCTTTACTCCTGATATCTGTAAAAATAAACAAATAAAAACTTACCTTGCATTCTAGCGAGCACATACTCAAAGCCTTTCATGGTCTTTGTGACGCTGTTCTTGAACCTTGCCAAACCGAATTCCTGTAAAGTGAACAAAATCAGAGGTTAAAGGCCAACCTGAAGGAACTGAAACTAAAACCGTAATAAATTTCTCTAAACCTGGAAACAATGAGGAACTACTGCTGCATCTTAACATTCTGGTACCCCAATACAGCACACTGACTATGCTTAGTTCATGCCTTAAACCCGTTGCCCATAGGAAGATGTTACCTGAATATAACCTAACCGAATATCTTCAGAACGGCTCCAAATGACACAAAACTAATATAGGTGAGTAGAGCATGATGTAATAACGTAAAATCAAGGGGCCAATGTAAAAAAAAAAACTGTGTTCCCCTCTAATTTAATAGAATCTATGATCGTGTTAAAAAGCATGCATCATTTTGAGATTTAAAAAGGGAAGTTTATTCATGTTAATAAATATATTTCTTCTGCCTTTAAATTGTATTTTTTTTATCCCCTACGGGTACGGAGTAGCAAAATTTTTCCCGGGTATTAATACGGAGTAAACCTGCAGTGATACATCATCACGTTATGAAACGACCAATAACATACCGATGCTTTGATCACCTAAAAGTCTGTGTTTAAAGAAATCACATATTCTACACAACTACAAAGAACTTTAGATTGAGCATACAAGAATGAACAAATTAAGGTTTTTAATTATATTACTCTGTAGAAAGAGCACCAAGTAGAAGAAGCACCATTGCTTTCCTTCTGCTGGTCGATGGGGCATCTGCAAGAGAAAACTCTGACCTTGGATGTTTCCTTGTTTACTTCCTTGCCTAACAGGCGCATATTCACACCTGAAATAAGAACCTAGACCTAAATAAGTCGGTAAAATGTGCAAAGCACATATGCTGTGACACATGCGGTGTGTTTTCTCTTTACTGACCTGAATAGCTCTAGAAAGCCCATAGACACCGGAAGAGATCCAGGCTTCCCTTTTGATCTCCGTCCAGGAGCCGTTCTCTGGGTTGATTTGGTACTGACAGCGCTCCTCCACCGACTGGAAAAGCATGCAGAAGAAGGACAAAAACAACACATGAGCCCATTTTTGACTTCAAGACAAGCCAAGTATTGATGGATGTAAACATGAGTGCACCATGAGGCGGGCGTGGGTGATGTTCCATGTTAGAGTGGTCATGGTCTGTTTCTGAGGGTCCACAATTGAGTCCTCAATGATGTAGGCCGAGCTCGACATGTGCTTTGGGAGGTACCGCTCCATCCAGCGAGGTGAACGGCTAGTTTTGGTCAACAGACGTCTGGAAATGAGGCAGTTGGACGGGGTTACCTCTCTGAAGATGATGTCCTCTGTCAAGACATGGTTACTGAGAACAAACAGAAACCAAAGATCAGTAAAACCTCAGGTTATTTCATTAAGAAAAGACAAAATTAAACAAATTCTAAATAAAGATTTCAAAAGCTGGATGACAAAAAATATTTTTGTTATTTTAAAGTTTAAAAGGTGATCCTTCCTGGTTAAACATAAATCCAGTGTTGAGTAGTACAGTAAACCCAATAACTCAGATCAATAAATTAAATTAGGGTCAGTTAAATATCAGATGCAGACAGGGTAATGACTAAAAGAGACTTTAATTCATAATGTGCATTATCCTGTCACACACACAATCATATCAATAAAGACACATTGTGGAAATAAACTGCCTGTTATAAGACTGAAGGCAGCAAACTAAAATCCCAGATGATGGATAATGGAAACTAACCAAAGACTGTCAATAACCAGGACCATTTGATTCTAATCATTACTTGATATTAGACAGTTGGACATAAAGTTCCTCCAAGAAGCAATACATCCTGTGTAATATATCCCCTATTTATGTTTCACAGTTTAATCATTGCATTTTAATGACATTCTCTGCACTAAACTAATCTTTACCTGCAGCACCAGGGTTACATGTGGACTAATGGTTCCTGCACACTAAATTAATCATGTTTTGTAATCATTAGGTCAACACCAAAATGTCAACGATACAATGCTATCCTTTCCAAAGTATAGGGCACCACGCTCTTCTGATTCACCATAAATATGGGAATTACCTCGCTAAAGGAAAGTTTTTTTCATCCTTGAAAACATTAAATATATATTTACGGCAGAGTATTAGGGTCAGGTTAGAGATATTTTTTTATTTATTTTCTATTTTGAGAATAAAGATAAAAAAGCCTGGCAATAAAAAAGTTGTAACATTATGAGAATAAAGTCGTAACTAGGGATGCACGATATTGGGATTTTGGCCGATATCCGATATGCCGATATTTTAAAACTCATGTAGCCGATAACCGATACCGATGTTAAACCTGGACAAAAATAAGCAGTCATTGAAAATAGCAGTTTTGTTATCCATTTCTGACACTTTGAAAAATAATATACTCAAATATATTTTCATATGCTGATATCAAATTGATTTTTAAAAACGCGGTATCTATCTATTTTACTTTGAAAATCTCGTGAAATTTCATCGTTCTGTTACAAACTCTTGTGATATTTAGCAAATTCTTGTGAGATTTTGTTAGTAAAATAGATGGATACCGCGTCAGTATATCAACATATAAAAATATGGCAACATTTCGTGAATTTTCGGGGGATTTCGTAGCATAACGATGACATATAGCAATATTTCATTAGTAAAAGAGATTGATATGGTGTTTTTAAATGGCAGTATATCAGCATAGGAAGATATTGTGATATTTTAATGTATCAATATTTTTTCCCTCGTCTTTAGAAGTTTTTAAGTCTGTAAAAAAGAAGATTTTGAGGAAGAAGAAGAAGTAGTATTTTTCTTTTTTTTGTTAGACTTTAGAAACTCAGAAGCTGATCAAATATCGGGTTAAATATCGGTGGGGGGGCCGATGTCCGATATTCAGTTTTAAGGCCGATAGGGGGCTGATTATATCGTACATCCCTAGTCGTAACATTACGAGAATGAAGTCATCATATAACAACGCCACCAAATAGCAGCCTGAGTCCACTTTGACATGCTGCCCAATTTGATGCTGGTGCTAAAAGATTTCCTTATTTGTCAAACCAGAGCCAAAGTATAAATTTATATTATGCTCGACATTCCTCACTTTAAAGAAGAAAGTGCTTTTTCTAGTTGTCATAAATGAAAACTTGTTTCTCGTGATGCTGCAACTTTATTCTTGTAATGTTGCGACTCTTTTCTCGTAATTTTACTTTATTCTCCAAATAGAAGACCAAAAAAATCTCTAGCCTGGCCCTAATACACTGTCGCTGTAATATTAAATTAAATCTAAAAGTAGAAATTTAAAAGGATACAAAATTTACCATGAGGTGAGGCAGGATTTTCCTTTTTGAATCTGGTGTGTTCAGGGTCATATGAAAGACACCAAGCCTTCAGCTAAACTTTCCTTCAGGATTCATTTGGCCTGGATGTCTTCTAGAATACTTCCCCTTTTCTTCAATATAGATATTAGCAAACAGAAGACCTTCTGCTCAGATGGTTGACTGAACAGCGGCTACGTTCACACAAGACGTAGAGTGGTTAACACTCAATTCCAATTTTTGTGTGAAATCTGATTGTTTTGCATGATCGTTCACATTTCCACAGATATGTGATCTCCTGTGAGGATTGCATTCATACACACTTAAGTATCCCAGATGCACAGCAGAGGATGCAATGACATCACAAGTGGTGAGCGTGCTCTGTGTTTAAGGAAGCAGACACGAATGGTAGTTCATCTCGCACTTCATTTCTTTTCCAGAGAATTAAAAATGCAAACTTTTCCAAGAGGGTCAAAAAGAAAGACTTCTCTTTGCATTATCTACCACCATGGCTGTTGTTTTGCTTTCTGCTGTGTTCCTTTACAGAGAAACAGTCGCCCTTGTAGGTAATCCTGAGATTAAATTGCAGTATTTTTACTGACAAACCAGCTTACATTCACTTCTTAGGAAAGCTTAGATTCTCTCCCACTCAACTACCAAGTTAATTTTATGCAGACAATGAGCAACAAAGTACAAAATAATTTAATAAAAAAATAAAGCAGAACGTTAAATCATAATTTTTTAAATAAAGCTTCTGGTTCCTCCATGTTAAATAATTTTTATTTATCCATAAGTGTCCATACACTACAAATAATCTAGCATATTCATAATAAAACATTCCATGATCAGAAACTGGCCACATAAAGTTGAGTTTTTTGCGATCAGAAAAGTTAATTTGTCAGAGCTAATGCTAATCTTCTTGCTAATAAGATTTACTTCCAAAAATATTTCAGTTTGATGTTTGTTTTCATCACTTTCCAGCCAACAAAACAAAAGTGTCCCCATCAAAGACAGCACCCTACAATCAGAGCCCCTTCATATAAGGCCTCATAAAGTCCACTGCTGTTGGTTAAGACCATTTTTAGACAAGGGTAAGGTGGAAAATTTGAATAATGCAGACATAATATAATGCCCTTTGTAACAAAGCACGGGCACAGGAGAGACTGATTATTACACACTGCTGGATCATTAGACGGAAATGTTACCTAAGTGGAAAAATATGTATAAAAAATGTTTTGTGGTCATCAAAACACTTCGGTACGGTTTTATAGGTCATTTGAAAAAGCTGGTGACACCAAAAGTTATAAGTCCCATAACTCTGAGACTGTTATACCTAGAGGTCTAAATTTTTTTGCAGTTGTGGTTGACATTATGCAGAATAAATATGTCATGACACAAACCTGCTGTCAAGCATGTCTTTGTTAATGCTATTCAAAAGAGACCTATTATTTCCTTGAAGAAAAAAAAAAACTTAGCCATGTTTGAACTGATGCAGTTTAGGCTGTGTTTTAGTCACAGTATACACATTTATATTTTCAGAAACTAGAAGGTGTTGGCTTTCAGATGATGCATCACACAAGTAATTTGGCCTTACAGTTCCTTAGTTATTTGCTTTATTCATGTATGCAAAATAGGCAAGGATTACATAAAAAAGGGAGGATTTTAAGAGGTTAATGGAATAAGAAAATATACTCTGTAAGAAAAAAATGCATTGTTTTTTTTTTCCCATTTTAGAAATATGCACAAACATATTGGTCTCTAGCAAGAAAAGACAACTCATAATTTTGTGCTAGAAAAGTTAAGGGAGGGGGGGGGGGGGGGGTACGCTGCTAGCGCCATGCAGATTGCTTTTTTTGCAAACTTACGTTACTTTGTTGATGCATAAACACCATAAAAGGTTAGTGTGTTTTCTTTTGTTGACTCATAACTTTTGTATTTTTGAAATATCATTTATTACTACTGAAATCTACTGGGGGCAAAGCTCTTGATTTACAGATTGATATAGGTTCCCACCCTCACCTAGATCTGGTGATGACCGAAAGGGCAAAAACGCGAATACAAGCGGCCAAAATGAGTTTCCTTCATAGGGTGGCTGGGCGCACCCTTCCCGGGAGGAACTCGGAGTAGAATCGTTGCTTGTCCACATCAAAAGCAGCCAGCTGAGGTGGCTCGGACATTTGCCTCCTGGTTGCCTCCCTCTGGAGGTGTTCCAGGCATATCCAAATGGGAGGAAGCCTCATGAAAGGCCCAGGACACCCTGGAGGGATTATGTCTCTGAGCTGGCCTGGTGTCACCCTGGGGGTCCCCTCGAAGCAGCAGGAGGAAGTGTGTTTGGATTGGGAAGTCTGGGCATCTCTGCTTCTCTGCCCGGCCCCAGATAAAGTGGAAGAAAATGGATGGACTACTGGAATCATTTTAAAACTCAGTGTCTATCTGGGAAATTTCTACTTGTAATTCTCTGCTTGACAGTGAAAACAATTTTAGGCCCCATCCACACGAAGTCAAAATGAACACGTAACGCTAATATTTTCCAGAACGTTTGTCGTAAAGACGGAGACGTAAAATAAATGTGATCGTCCACACGAATGCATGAAAACGCTGCAAAATGTATGCCAGGCCTGTAAGTGGCGCTGTGGTGCCGAAGCAAAAATAGGCGACGAAATGTTGGGCATGCGCACTAATATTTATACATGGTTGCCCTGCGGGTCCATTTTCGTGGTTAAGCCAAATTCAGGTGCTGAACTATGTCGTCGATATTGCTCTGTTCTTCCTGGAGATATTCCGGAAGAAGAAGATTCTGTTGTAAGCCCGACAGCAGGGTGAGTAGCATGAGCAGCAACCATTCAACACAGTACGTGACACAGATACTGTGTCGCGCATGCGTGTTTAGAGGCGACGCTATGACGCATGCGTGTAAAAAAAAAAAAATGCGGTTAGAGCTTAAAGATGGAAACACTAAAACAGCGTTTCAAAATCTTCCCACTCTGTAGGCTGAATAAAAAAAAAAGATCGTTTACAGACCCCCGAAACGCCGGCTTCGTATGGATGAGAGGCTGGTTTGGTGAAAAATTTGTGCGTTTAGGCCAGGGTTCGGCTTCGTGTGGACGGGGCCTTAGATTTTACATATTAAAACACCAATAACAGGGTTTATACAGGAAGGAGGAACTCTAATTTAATGCTTTTTAATGCTCTTTGAAATAATTTTAATGCCATCAATAAGATAAATTTGCATTTTCCCATTCTCTAGCTTTTTCTGTGCCTTTAGGATATATTTAAAAAAAAATGTTTTATAAAGCATTTTAAATGCCATGATAATGCCAATTAAGGCCTTATTAAAAAAAAATAACTTAATGACTTTTAATGATTTTAATGATCCGCAGAAACCCTGAATAAGCATTTACTCATTAAAAATGCTCACACTAATTGAAGGATTTATCACTATTACTTCCATAGTATTTAAAAGGTAAAACAAAGCATTCCACCTGTAGACACAATCACAAACATGTTTCTCTCACCTGTAAGGATTGGGGTAACGTTGCCAGAAAGCAATGCAAACTTGGTCCCAGGTGCTTTTCAGCAAACCTGTGCAGTAAAAATATTTCCCCATTGTTCCCTTGGTTATCTGACATTCCCCTGCTGAGCTGCAGCACAGAGATAAAGCATGAAGTTAGAGTCAGATAAAGCAGGACTAATGTTGACAGGGAACACATTCACAGAGGTCAATTAAGGATGTAAAGGACAATTAACATAAATATATTGTAGGCTAACATTTAAAAAAATATAAAGCAACACCCTGTCTGCTATTTTAACAGGTGGTTTAAAAACAAAGGCTTAATGAAAGGCGACAAATAGTTAAAAGTCGTTTCTGTCACATTCGTCACGTACACACTGCTTAGCTTCCTGGTTAGCATGAGCTAAGCTAGCATGCGGCTAATACTATGAATGAATGGCAGCTTCCGTTCTGATATTTATCTGAGCTTTTAACCAAAGTAAGACAAAAAGGTTCGACACAGACGAAATAGACACTAACCTGCACAGTGAGGTGTTTCAAAAGATCAAAACAGACATTTCAAGATTCCTCTGGAGCAAAGTCCATCTTGGCTATCCACACGAGAAGCCAGACGTCACCGGCCGGACAGCGAGGTCAGGTCGAGCGTTGAGCAGTGACGCAATATCCGACAGTGGGAAGAAGTTGAAAGCTTATTTTTTCAACACTAGATGGCAGCAGAGCGCTATTGCAAAATGCTTTGGTTTCTAGCTTTCCCTAGGGGGCGGATTATTTTTAATATCTGCTACTCCAGTACAAGTTCAACCAAAAGCTAAGGAAACACACTTTCAAATCTTAAATTTTATTTACACCTCCAAAGAATCACTAAGGTTTCAATTAAACATTGATAACAGTAAATGCTGATTGTGTTGAATACATATAGAAACAACAGACTACATCATGGGCGGTTCTAGACAAGGGCCAACGGGGGCCAGTGCCCTTGTAGAACATGTCTCGGCCCCTGTTTATGGCCCCTGTACTGAAGACATAATTCTCATAATATGTGCACTGGAACAGACAGGGTTACTGATAGGTCCTTTGAATCTATTTGATTTTTTTTCTTTACAAATTCTGTTTTACTAATTATTTAAATACAATAAGGTGATAGCTTCAGTGGTGTTGAGATAGGATCTTAGTTTTTATCTGTAAAATGTTTTGTTTTTTTACCCAAAACAAATACAAAAACATGCTATAATTTTTACAGCTGAATTTATCAGTTTTTGAGTTCTAATTCAGATTTTATTTTAAAAAAGTCAAAACTAAGTAAAATTCCTAAGTTATAAATGTATATTGACCTAATAAGACATAGGATTTTAATTAAAATTTCACTTCATGCAGCTCTCTTATTATTTTTCCATCCTTTGCTCTGATTTTTTATTTTATGCTTTTCTGTGCCCCTATGAAAATATGCTGGCCCCCTCCTGGCCCCCTGGTACATTTGGTCTAGAACCGCCACTGGACTACATGTTATATGAAGGCAACAAAATTCAAACATTTGGGAATAACCAGGGGCGGAGCTAGATGGGGGGCCACTGATTGGCTGAGGGTGGCCATGGCCACCCCTGCCTTTGTTTTCGCCCACGGTGGCAGCAGTAAGACTCTCAAGGCGAATGTTCAAACTTATTAAACATTTGAATTTTTCATATATTAACAACTAGAACGCTGTGTTTATGCACATCAAAATACTAACATTAAAGTTGATATACACAGAATTCATGCTCTTTTCAGAACTATATTTTTGTGTTATATGAGGTAAAGAGAAAATTATGTCTTCAGTGAAATCATAGATAAATAACTACTTTAATAATAACTTAAAAATCTATTTAATGTAGATATAAGTACATAGAAATATATTTTTTATGCAGAACAATTTTTGATAAAAGTAGGTAAGTAATGACATTGGAGAAGACGTTCACCCCAGAAATGTTGTCCTCTACACCTTTAATAAGTCAGCACAGCTGTTTAAATATATGCTTCTATTTGTTAGGAAAGGCTGTATGAAAGTATAGTTTGTCTTTATTTACAAAATGTCGATGTTGTGGTCGTTCCTTTTGGAACAGTGCAGATTGACCCTGAGGTTCTGGCACCTATTCGCTTTCGGCCACCCATCAGTATACATTGCTTATTGCCTGGCCACCCTTAATAAAATTTTCTGGCTACACCTCTGGGAATAACTTGAAAAGATTGTTAAAAAACAAAAAACATTCTTTTCTGAATCAAGTTTTTTAGAGATATAATAATTCCTATATGCATCTACCATATACTCTGTAGAATTGAACTACAGCTCAAACATTTTTGCACGTGGTTTGATTTAAAAAAATAAAAATACTTCAGGACAAGTTTTACATATAAGATAAAGCTCAATTTTTTTGTTGAAATTGCACCGATCTTAGATTACATGTTGATCAATGGTTATTTTGTTGTTTGAATTTATTCACTGTGGGACAATAAGGGATTTTTTTTATTCTCTTTATTGGTAGCGTATCCTTTATTTTGATCAGTGTTGAATTTGTTACAATTTTAATCCTTTTTAAAATCAGTCTCTTTTAAGCTCGGTCCACTTTAAGCTCACATATGCTCATATTTCATTTGACAAATGCTGTGATGCCACAAAAGTTTCTAATAATGATCCAACCTCATCTCACTCCAAACATCATAATAATGTTGGTAATCCTGATTAACATTGACAGTTTCCCATAAACTCAACCCTTTTAACAGATATTGAAATATATGAAATAATACAATTATTTATGAATAAAGGAAAATGACCCTAGTGGATGTGAAAATTATGTTGCATTAGTGGTTTTCTTCTTAAAGTCTTGGAGCTTAAAATACATCAAATATCTTTGCTTAAACCAAGAAATCCTGCATGTGGGAGTCAGGATCCAGTAATGCATTTAGAATATCAATTCCCTTTGCTGTACAATAAATGGAAACATGTGGGCAACAATTGTAATTTTGATATCTTAATGCTTTACTGGATTTAGCTAATCCCTTTTTTCTATAAACCATGGCTTGAGACTGAGGGGTATAGTGATTTAACACAAGGGTTCATATAACCATCTAAATTAAATCCGTTTTGACTGCTTGACATGTCAGATCATGCTTTAATCAGCAGCCACAAGGATTCAAGATGTACTTTAATTCCATACAATGACAATCAAAGATCTCTTTAGTTGACACAGAGGCACAATCAATGACGTCCTTTAATAGACACACACCAGCAAAAATGTTGGCGCATCCAGTCCAGGCTGTATACTTGTGCCCGGGGGGACTCGTGGTTGGAATTATGTCATGATGGTTATTAAAAACCATCAACAGAAAGGACACTTTAGCAGGAGCAATAATGAGCACAGAAGTGCACGTTCCTTTCACATCCCCTTGAACAAGCTTCTTTAATGAAGACATCCGCAGTGTTTTACCCTGGCGTCACTCAGGTCACTGGTTTCCAGTTCCATTCCTCTGGACCCAGAGTCCCAGTGCCTCATCTAATCAGAAACAGCTGGCGACCAGGTGAAGACAATTAACTTCCTGTTTGTTCAGAGTATTAGCGACAGCTCCCATTTGGGATTTCTTGGAAGAGGATTACATGTTATTTTGCTGAAAATTGTTTTATATTTTTTCCCAGATTAGAGGATTAGGACGAATTAGAAGATAATTATCCAAATATTACAAGCAGCCCACATTGACATTCACATTAATCTTTGCCTTATCCTGAAAACATATACTAAAAGACCTGGTCTCATATCGCAACAAGAAATCAGAATCAACAGTAAAACATGTTTACATAGGACATAGGTAAACAATTTTTACACACATTTTAATAAATTAGACATGTACTCTACAAGTACAATTCAATCAACTTGACGCCTTATAAAGAGATTAACATGCAAAGCATTGGGCCTTTTAGCAACATAAAGCTGCAGGATAGGAGATATGGAGCTAATGCTTTGAATAGCACACTGTCGAGCTTTGTAGTGGGAAGGATTCAAGACATTTCTGAATGGTTAAGCATTTCCAGTACTGTTTGCAACTCATGCATCAGCCCCTGATACCTTTGTCCCACTATAGGGTATCTGGCAAGGAATAGTGGCTAAGGCACAAGTACGTAACTCATCAGCAATTCCCCTTCTTCTTTAACCCTGTAGAATAGTAAATACAAAGAGAAAATAACAACAAAAAAAAGAAAAAAACTAGAGGCAGACATTTTTTTTATTAGGCTAAAAATGTTGAAGTTTTCAGAGTTTGTTGACATGAACAATTAGTCCTAAAAATTAACTGAACTCAAGGAAAAATAATTGGTTAAATATTGTTTTCACCAGATAACAAACTGTTAAAGATTTTTCTTGGCAAATATTACTTTATTTAATCATTACTATCATTATTTGTGCTTATGTGATTATGCAAGTGTTATGTGCGGATAAAAATTCACTTGTTTGCCTAAAACTAAGTGTACAACTGATAGCATGAGTTACTGTTCATAAGGTTTCTCATTATATATCTGGCGACTTGGGATCATAGAGCAATGTAATTTAAATTGAAAATTAAAAGGTTAAACAAATTAACTTAACTTCAAGATTGTGTCTTACTAGTATCAATAATTATATTACAAATGTGAAAAATATAACGTATAAAAGATAAAATGTTTTATAATTTAAGCTAATTATTTTATAATTCTTTGGAAAAGGTAGAGAGCTGGTGAAGAGAGAGGTGAGCCAAAAAGCAAAGCCCTCAATTTATCGGTCGATCTACATTCCTACCCTCATCTATGGTCATAAGCTTTGGGTCATGACCGAAAGAATGAGATACAAGCGGCTGAAATTAGTTTTTTCCGTAAAGTGTCTGGGCTCTCCCTTAGAGATAGGGTGAGGAGCTCAGTCATCCAGGGAGGACTCAGAGTAGAGCTCCTCCACATCGAGAGGAGCCAGTTGAGGTGGCTCGTGCATCTGGTTAGGATGCCTCCTGGACGTCTCCCTGGTGAGGTGTTCCGGGCACGTCCCACCTGGAGGAGGCTCAGGGGGAGACCCAAGACACGCTGGAGGGACTATGTTTCTCGGCTGGCGGGGGAGCGCCTTGGGATTCCCCCGGAAGGAAGAAGAAGGAAGCGGAAGAAGAAGGAAGGAAGGAAGGAAGGAAGGAAGGAAGGAAGGAAGGAAGGAAGGAAGGAAGGAAGGAAGGAAGGAAGGAAGGAAGGAAGGAAGGAAGGAAGGAAGGAAGGAAGGAAGGAAGGAAGGAAGGAAGGAAGGAAGGAAGGAAGGAAGGAAGGAAGGAAGGAAAAGGCACCGCCATCTTGTAGCACTCTGAGCGGTGATGTTACCGATTTGGTTGGCTCTGTATCTGCCATTGAATACATTGATAAAACCAGCTATACCTCACAACTGCCTCCTATCTCCTTACCACGGCTAGAGACACACAGCGAATGGGCTCAAAAGCATAGATAATGGGATTTGGACATCTGAGTGGCCTCTCAGCTTCGTCTTTCATCATACCAAATTTCTTAAGAAGTTTATGATTGTATGGTATAGTTGGTATTACTAAGATACTCAAATGGCAGTTACAGAGCCTACCAACCCTGTGACATCACCGCTTAGAGTTCTGCAACATGGCAGCACTGTTGCCAAAAATTATAAAACATTTGTTGGTCTTTTCTTTTATACGTTAATATTTTTCATTTTTGCAATATAATTTTAGATAATAGTATGACACAATCTCTTTAGTTTGGTTTATCGTTTCATTTTAAGTTTAATGTTTAGAGTGTCAGCTTATTAAACAGAGAGGAAAAGAGATTATTCTGTGAAAGCAAACGTATTGAAGCTCATTCCCAAAACATCACACCTTTGATCTCCATACCAATTCATTATTCAATTAGGGATTGCCTTAAAAGTGGAAAAAAGCATTTTTTTTTGTTGAAAATATGATATAGCTTGATATTCCCCTCCAAAAAATTTATTTTCTGATGTTTAAATAAAAAAAAAAGAAAAAAAGTTTAAGAAAAACAACACACCTGGTACAATACTGTCAGAGAAGCTTCAACATTTCAACAAAGTTTGGAATGATTTGCTACTTTGCTGGCGTGTAACTGATATAAAGAAATCCCAGACCTTTGCTTAAATTGACCAATATGGAAAGGCATTTTCTGATCACATTGAAGCTTTGCATTAACCAAGTCTCAGTGTTGCGTTTGCAAACAATAACACATAGTTTCCCTATAAAATTGAAAACAGCAGGAGTCAGATTTACCAGACACAAAATAATTACCAGAAGAAGAAGAGAACAGATCATTGATTGTGATATTTTTAAGATGCTGTTACCAACAGCAACACATAAGCAGTTAAGTATTGAAGTGACACACCATGAATTATTGTACCTAATGTACCTGTACCTTGGAACTTGGTAGAAAGATGGTTTCAAGGTTCTTGACAGCAATTGAGGGCCAGACATGTTCAAGCCAATAGGCTTCTGAACCCCTAAACCAAACGTCTTAACAACATTCTAAAGATTCTACATTTACACCACACCAATTTCATACAGCAGTAGGAGGATGTCCACCATTACGACTGTTCACAGCCAGCCCTCTCACAGAACGTGTCCTAAATGAGCCTTCTGGGTGGAAAGAGTCTGCCTTGTCCTCACACCGGAACACCATTAAGAAGCCATTCCTGTAGTTTTTATTCATCCATCCATACAGAAGAGGGTTGGTAAAGGTAGGACACATAGCGACAATGTGAAACACAGTAAATATGAGCTTATACTCCTCGAATCGGAGCACCAGGTCCAGATCAGTGGCCAGCTGAAGCACATGCAAAGGCAGCCAACTGACCGCAAACACCACCACCACCAATGCCAACATCTTTGTTGTTTTCTTGCGTCGATTGATGCTGCCGTTCCGGCTGGATGGGCTGACGTGGTTCTTCAGTTTGACCCAGATGCATATGTAGGCATAGCTGATGATGGCTAAAGGTAAAATGTACAGTAATAGGATCATTGAAAGGCTGTAGATGACTCCGTCCCTGTTAATGCCATGGGGCCACTTCTCAGAGCAGACGGGCATGCGCAGGTTGATAGAAGGAATTTCTTCATAGCGATATTCCCTAAAAATGGCAAGGGGAGCTGCCAAGACAGAAGAAATAGTCCAGGTGAATGCCATAATGAAGAGGCTGGAACGCCAAGTCAAGCGCCGACCGAGGTGGAAAACAATGCAGCGGTAACGTTCCAGAGCAATGACAGTCAGGGTCAGTATAGACACATGGACGCTCAGTGCTTGGGCAAAAGGTACCATGTGGCATAACATGGCACCGAACTTCCACTCATCTAGCAGAGTGTAAACCAGAGTGAAGGGAAGGCAAAGAGTGACCATCAGAAGGTCCGCCAACGCCAGATTGGCTATGAAGTAGTTGGTCACTGTCCGCATGTTCCTGTAGCGAATAATCATGTAGATGACGAGGGAATTGCCCAGCAGCCCCAACAATATTATTAAGGAATAAGCCATGATTAAGGTGATTTGGACTCCAAGGTGCTTGGTGATATCAGAATGGAACCCCGGCTGGAATGAACCAAGGCTGTCGTTAAACAAAAATGAAAGGTCACCGCCAGCCTCCCCCTCTGCTGTGGTGTTGGAGGAGTCGAGTGGGCTCATTTTTCAAATACTGAGGCTGCAGCAACACCTAAGCAGAGAAAACACAAAACAAAATGTGTCATATAATATCTAAAATTTCAGACTTAATATAGATAAGTGAATCACTGAAAGAGTTAAATTATTTCTCAGTATTGACATTGATGGCTCTCTCTTTTGCATAGTGGTGTTTTTCAATAATTTATGCTGAATCTTTTTGTAAAGAAAACTGAAACTAGTCTATTTTATAAGTAGAGCTCCTTCATTTAGTGAGAATATCTTTAAGTATAGATTCCATTACAGCACATTGGACAGGTGGACCAAAGGACATCATTCTTAGGCTGCTAAGGACGCGCCAAGGTTAGCATAGGTTCAGATAGAACTGGAGGGAGTGAACTGATATGCATGCAAGGCTAAAAGCTAACATGCACAAGCATTCTCAAGTCTTTCTGTTGCTATTTGTTGCTCACTTGCCAACAAGACTTATGAAATTAGGCTAAGGATTACATTGTGCAACAGGGACAGTTGTGTGATTGTGTTCACCGAGACTTGGCCGACTGCAATGTGTCTATTTATCTTACAGGATTGGTTGCCGTCATTGTCTGTTATGCAGATAGAACCTGGGACTCTAGTAAGAGTAAGTTAATGGGTCCGTTTCCTGAAACAGGTTTAAAAATTCTGAGTTGTCTACAACTGAAAATAAGGAAAGTCTAACTTTTCCAGTTCAGAAAGAAAATTTCTTCAACCTTTGTTTCTGTCACCGTAGCAACATTCTCCCCAGAGCTAACCTGTTTGGTAGCAGCAGGCTCAGACTGAGAACAATTTTTGGCCATGGCATTTTTCCATCTACACCTGCCTACTTATGGACCCCCCCCCCCCCCCCCCCCCCCCCAAAAGAAATAGAAGCAGTCAAACATGTGTGTCTCCAATGTGAATTATCCATTGTGGATTAACCAATCTATCTTCAAGCATCACACGACAACCATCACCAAGACTTCTATAATGCGGTTTTACTGGCTTTGGTTATAAACACAGACGCAACAGTGACTTCAGCAGGGTTTCCAGATGTCACTGAATCACGTTTTCCATTCCAAAAAATGTTCATAAACTGGATGTATGAAATTTTGCCCAATTTGAACCAAATTTATGGCCTAACCACAGTTAGGCATGGCCATATTATGTGTTAGCTAACTGTCTTTTCAATAATAGTGGAAATGTTTTCAGCAGGTTTGAAGCCTAAATGTCCGTCCCAGTTGTTGTTTTCTTTTCGTAGTACCTGAAGCTATATGATGTTTTAAGCAGTTCTAGCATGTAAACAATTGTGGCTAACAGTCCACAAACGCCAACATGTCTGCCTGATGCAGAGGATCAGAGGAGTGAAGTGGCTGCAGTGGTTTGGCCAGCGGTTTGCTCAACATTGCATGACGTTTATGTGGAAGGAGGGTGACAAACTAAAGTAAATGCCTGTGTTGTACCAAAACTATTTTAAGGAAGAGAGCACTTTTTATATTCAATTATTGGTGAATGAAGAAAAAGCTGAGGTCAAGCAGAAAGGGAACTTTTCCCCTCCAGGAAATAAGTGCAAGTGCCTGACGACCACTTGAGTTTTATTTGTGAACATGTTCTTCAGCTTGTAACCAGACTTTCAAAAGTACCCACATGCTTTAGTTAATCAAAGATATAGATACCTGTTTAAAAAAAGACAGGTAAAAGCAAAAGTACTGACTGAACTCCTTAACTTGAATCAAACGTTGCAGTTTCTATATATAGCAAAATAAGGTTTTTGCCTAAATAAAACTTTTGAAAACACTATTCTTAAAATCAGTTCTATTCTAAAAATACTGACTTGGAGTACTTTTGTTATACATTAAATTTCAGACTGGATAATATAAATCGAGCTGAAGAGAAGTCCTGTATAAGCAGCTGAATGCTTTTAAAACCTCTGGTTTTAACAGCATTCAAATTGTTAAACATAATCTGAATGTTAATTTATGATCTAATAAAGGGGGAGTGAATGGTCTTAGAATTGGATCCACCAGCCCCTTATTTTCATCCATCCATCCATATGAGTATCACACTGGGCTCCCCCAGGACAAATTTCATTACATAGATTTTCTCTGATTCGTTGTGATTGTTACCTCATGTCATTATGAATTTGTGTAGAAATAATGAGCCAGTTGTGAGAACGTAATGCGTAGAAAGAAAAATAAGAAAAAATTTAAATAAAAAAAAATCAAATATAGAAATGGAAACAAATATTTAAGTACAGTAAAAAAGTTTTGTGTTGTTACAGTGGATTAGACTTTCTATAAGTTTGGTAGCTGAGTTTGTCATAAGGTATGCAAAGCCAGAGGCAAAACAAACTTCTTTCTTGTTCCTGCGACTTCAAGAAACAGAGCAACATTTTTTGGTTCTTGCAGGGTATTTTCATCTCACCACAGTTAACAACAAGGTAGCGCTGAGAGACTGCACACCTTTAGCGAGGTCAGTACAGGTACAGGGTGATAACAGATCCACTGTAATGTCACAGGACTTTTTCTAAGGCACAGAGTGGGGGTTGGTTTAACAGGGAGCTAAATTAGAGACCCACAGACCTGACTTACACAAACTTCAGAACTATTGAGGACCACCAGGATCATCAGAATATTTCTGAAACCCATTTTTAACAGCAAGGTGAGAAAAGTCTTCAAGAAATAGAAAAGTTGCCTTTAGCTTAAATGATATTCAAGCATAACTCATGTGAACCAATAGGAAAATTCAACATCAGTAGATCCTCTTTTCAGCTATGTGAGAGTGGTACTAAGAGGATTTTAAGTCAAAGAAAGCAGAACTTAACAAAGTCCCATGAAAATGTAAAAAGTTGCACAGAAACATTAAAGTAGCACCGTTAGACAAACTACCTGGTTGAAGAACAGCTTCTTTCTCAGAGCTTTTATTTGTAATTGTTGTAATTTATCCATGTAACATCCTGTTTTTTGTGAGGAAGCATGAAATGATTTGGTTGTAACTAAAATGGAAATCAAGCATTCTTGTAGGGTAATCTTTATTTTATGATTGATTTTTATTCTTCTGTGTTGTTTTTTTTAACAAAACCTTAAGATTTTATTCAGTCATTCAATAAACAGATTGTGAAGTAAGGGGGGGGGGGGGGGGGGGGGGGAACTCCAGGAGTCTCAAATCAGAGTACTCGATAACTCTGATCTGTATTTCTTGTTATTTCAAGCACTGCAGGATGTGCATCAGGCATTTGCTTCTGCAGACATGGACAACATGTTTCACGCACTTTTCCAAATAGCTATTCCCGGTTGGCATAGTGAGTGCATTTAAGACAACTAGATTGTCAAATTCTGCCAGCTATCCCCGCTGAGGCCTCACAGCTGGGAGTCTGCTAGTACTGCTGGTTCTTTGACCTCTGATTTTCATGTGTACAACACCTTCCATTTGTTTCAACTATAGTTCTGTCATAAATTGCTCTGCTGTTTATCAAATCAGCACAGGCTGCATGAAGACATAATTCTAGCCTTCCAGCCAAGCTTCGGATGAAAGACGTTCTATACAATATCCATTTTGTTACTGGGCTTGAACCTCCATTGTAAATATAACGAACATCAAGGATACTAGTGTTTACAGCTGGAGAATAAAAGCTGAGTTCATTGTTTTTGGATAGATGCATCTCCAATGTGCACAAACTCATCATTAGCACAATCTTTTGCACAGTTGTATTTGATTGCAATAAAACATGTGCATGTTCTATAAAGCTGTAAAAAGGAAACACCAGCAGCAGTCAGGAAGAAAATAGAATAGAAAACAAGCTTCACTTAAACAAATGATTCAGATACCCAACCAAAAAAATTATAATTTGAAGTCACCTTGATCCATTGATGATCATGAGAAAACATCTTTGCTCATTATTGCCTTCTGTTCTGCTTGTCTTTTTAGTCAAAGCAATGAGGGGTAGTCGGTGACTTCTAAGCTCAATCATTAGAGCAGCAGCACATGTGCCTACACAGCTTGCAGCTCATAATAAAGGAATAAATCTGGGCCTAATATTAAGCTATAAGAAATGCAGTTTGCCATCTTGTTGTTTTTGTTTTTCAATTAAATTGCAGCCAAAGAGCTGCGGCTGCATACTGATATATGTTCAATTATTACAGTAAAGGGTTAAATTGTCAGCTGATGGTTTGGTGGCTGAATCACAATGTTGTCATTTAACATAATAGGTTTTTAACTAAACTACACTGGAAATCTGTATTAGATATAAGCTGTTGTGCTTTTAATGGCTCCAGCATCTTGGAGCTTCTTTTTTTTGCAGCCTTTGCTTCAACAACCTTTGTTTTAACAGCCTTTGCTTCAAGATATAACAGCCAAATATTCAATTATGTCACATTTCTGGTTCTGTTATGTTTTCTTTTGAGTATTCAGTTTTACTTTGCTCCATGTTTTCTAGTTTTAGTGGTTTAATTCTTATTTTGTTGTGTTTTCTGGTTATTTTCAGTTTTCAGGTTTTTATTTGTTGCTCTCTGCTGCCCTCTTGTGTTCGCTTTTTTTTCCTAGCTCCTTACCAGTTCTGCTCTGTTCACACCTGCTCCCAATCTGCTCGTTAGTCCTCTCTTTGTTTCAGTCTCCCATAAATACCCTCTCTTTGCAGTTCCTCAGTGCTGGTTCCTTGTCAAACTTCCTCCAACTCTGTCTCATTTAGCCTTCCTCCTCATGATTGTTTCCCCCCAGATGTCTCTATGGTTTTGGTTTGTTTGATTTTGTTTTCTTGTTTGATTTTTAGATTCCTGCCTCAGTTGTTTGTTTTCACTTCATTAAATCATCAAGAAACAAACCTCCGCCTCCCTGCCTCTGCATTTGGGTCCTCAGATCCTCAACCAAATCCTGACAAATTAGAAAATCATTCAGTCACACATAAGATAAATTTAGCTGTTTATCTGTCTTACTTTCTTTTTTTAAATAAACAAAGATACAATAAGCCATATTACAACCTGTGTTTGAAATTTTGGTTCTCCATTATTTCTATCCACTTTCCAAATTCCTCGTTGTGTTTTTACTTTCGTGCTGTGAAAGATTTGCAGAAAAACCTGCAAGAATCTCACAGAAAATATGTATGACCAGTAACAAGGTCAGAAAAGCAGGACCAGATTGCGTTACATGATTGTGCATGTTCTTTTTTAGTTAAGGTGTTATGAAAACCACATAGTGTGGGGGATACGTTCCATGAGGATGACTGTAAAGTCCCAAAGAGCTTTCTATGACTGCTGAATCACTCTCTACTTCCCTCTTAAACCCATACAGGCACCTCAAACTACATCATTCCAGTCAACACCAAAGGGAAGATATAAGAAAAGAATCCAATCTCTTGGCAGTGAGAAACAGAGAAAATGTTCAGGTAAACTAAAGTTAAACCGTGGATTTTTTTTTTTTTTGCTTGACTGGCAAAATACAGGTGCTGGTCATAAAATTAGAATATCATGAAAAAGTAGATTGATTTCAGTAATTCCATTTAAAAAGTGAAACTTGTATATTATATTCATACATTACATACAAACTCATATATTTCAGATGTTTATTTGGTTTAATTTTGATGATTACAAATGACAACAAATGAAAATCTCAAATTCATCATATCAGAAAATTAGAATATTGTGAAAAGGTTCAAAATTGATGGTCCCTGGTGCCACACTCTAATCAGCTAATTAACTCAAACCACCTGCAAAAGCCTTTAAATGGTCTTTCAGTCTAGTTCTATAGGCTACACAATCATGGGGAAGACTGCTGACTTGACAGTTGTCCAAAAGACGACCATCAACACCTTGCACAAGGAGGGCAAGACACAAAAGGTCATCGCTAAAGAGGCTGGCTGTTCACAGAGCTCAGTGTCCAAGCACATTAATAGAGAGGCGAAGGGAAGGAAAAGATGTGGTCGAAAAAAGTGTACAAGCAAGAGAGATAACCGCACCCTGGAGAGGATTGTGAAACAAAACCCATTCAAAAATGTGGGAGAGATTCACAAAGAGTGGACTGCAGCTGGAGTGAGTGCTTCAAGAACCACCACACACAGACGTATGAAAGACATGGGTTTCTGCTGTCGCATTCCTTGTGTCAAGCCACTCTTGAACCACAGACAGCGTCAGAAGCGTCTTGCCTGGGCTAAAGAGAAACAGGACTGGACTGCTGGTGAGTGGTCCAAAGTCATGTTCTCTGATGAAAGTAAATTTTGCATTTCCTTTGGAAATCAAGGTCCCAGAGTCTGGAGGAAAAGAAGAGAGGCACTTCATCCACGTTGCTTGAAGTCCAGTGTAAAGTTTCCACAGTCAGTGATGGTTTGGGGTGCCATGTCATCTGCTGGTGTTGGTCCATTGTGTTTTCTGAGGTCCAGGGTCAACGCAGCCACATACCAGGAAGTTTTAGAGCACTTCATGCTTCCTGCAGCTGACCAACTTTTTGGAGATGCAGATTTCATTTTCCAACAGGACTTGGCACCTGCACACAGTGCCAAAGCTACCAGTACCTGGTTGAAGGACCATGGTATCCCTGTTCTTAATTGGCCAGCAAACTCTCCTGACCTTAACCCCATAGAAAATCTATGGGGTATTGTGAAGAAGAAGATGCAATACACCAGACCCAACAATTCAGAAGAGCTAAAAGCCACTATTAGAGCAACCTGGGCTATCATAACACCTGAGCAGTGCCACAGACTGATCGACTCCATGCCACGCCGCATTGCTGCAGTAATACAGGCCAAAGGAGGCCCAACTAAATACTGAGTGCTGTACATGCTCATACTTTTCATGTTCATACTTTTCAGTTGGCCAACATTTCTATAAATCCTTTGTTTTTATTGGTCTTCAGTAATATTCTAATTTTCTGATATGATGAATTTGAGATTTTCATTTGTTGTCATTTGTAATCATCAAAATTAAACAAAATAAACATCTGAAATATATGAGTTTGTATGTAATGTATGAATATAATATACAAGTTTCACTTTTTAAATGGAATTACTGAAATCAATCTACTTTTTCATGATATTCTAATTTTATGACCAGCACCTGTATGTAACTGTTTGAAATGATACAAGCCGAATAGAGCATTTATTTACAGTCATTATGTTATCCAATCAATCAGATGGAAAAATCTCAAAAGGAATATAAAAACCAAGGTACGGGGAATCAAACACAATGTTTTCTGATGCTAAATTGATTCTTATTCTCTTTGATTACTGATGAAGGCTTCAAAACCCCAGAAAGACAACTTCAACTTCAAAAGCACATATGTAACACGTGCAACACCAAGCAGGATTTTTATTGTCTCGTTCCCAGCTGATTTAAAGATAAATGCTTACACAACAGGTGTTACCACCCCCTAATGTTTACATAATTCAGAAATAAGGGAACGCCTTCAGCTTTTGGGCAATGTGAATTTAAAGAACTTATCATCTATGCAGTAGATACAGTGAAACAGCTTTAGGATTAACTGGAAACATGAAGCAATTCAGAAAATGTGGCTGTCGTCAAGCATGCAGATCAGGACCAAAGCGCACAGATGCACCGGAGTAGAAGGATGAGATGGAGCCTTATTTCATTCCAGGCGATATTTTTCTGAACTTTAACAGTAATTGAAAAAAAAAAAAAAAAAAAAAAACTTCAGGGATCCATGATGCCTTGTTCCAAGAGTTATTTTGCGACGTACCTGCTGGAGCAGAATCCACCTCACATCCAACACCAGAGAAAATGCATTTATGCGTAATTTGTGTCCGCGTTCCACTTTCTCGCTCTCAGACCATTCAAAGCTAATTTAAACGGATGCAGACAGCTTCAACTATCTCACATAATTTGGACTCTTCATCATTATCGTTAAAAATGTTTCTTCCCGTCCCAATTAGAGGATATACCCGCGTCTAAAGAACAGGGAAATCTACACTTTAGCACCTCCCTGATGCAACTGAAAAACAGATCGAGCCTCACATCATTAATTGACAGTCTACACCCTATCCGCACATTAATGGACTCACCTTTCGCAGGAAAATCTACTTTTGAAACCGAGTCTTCACTCAAGTGTGGCGTAAAACAAGTGAGGTAAAAATCCCAAAGCTCCTCCCTGCGTTTAGTGCGCATCTTGTGGCTCCGCTGAGCGCTCAGATCCAGCAGAGTCAGAATAGTGAGGCGCCCACATCTGTGCCATGATGGTCCGCTGGAGAGCTGCGCAATGCGCGCACTCTGTGGGCTACTTCATAATGCAATTTCACTTTATTGTTCTTCATTATTGGAAAGACAAACTTCATGAATCTGGTTGCATTATTTCTACCTTATTATCTGGGTGAACATTGTGGAATCAAGAAGCTGAATGGGAAATGTGTCATTCTTTAATTTTACTTTATAGACCTCAGCATTCAGCTCCAGATCCCAGAAGAGCGGTGCTCAAGTGGATCTCAGCATTTAATGTTAAAGTTCTGAATGAAGTTAAAGTAACTAATTAAAATCAAGACTTTGATTTCCCCTGGAAATAAACTTATGCTCATTTGGTGTAATTACAACCTGAGAAAGATGAAAGCTGTAAGGGACTGCATCATTACTTATAGTTGGACATGTAGACATAAACATTTAAGAGTTTTATCCAGCAGGCCAATACAATAAAATTCATCTGAACTACATCCATACTATTGGTAAAAAGTTTTATTATTAATCAGAAGGAATGCTGTTTAGATTCTAATAGGTTTCTCAGTCGTTTTAGCTCAGTTTATGTCATTCAGGTGTGAAACTTTTTATTTCATTTGATCAGGCTTGTTTTTTGTTGGTTTTTAAAAATTTAAATTAAGTTTAACATGGACTGCTTAGTGGCACACTGTACTAAGAAGGTCCTGTGTTCGCTTGTTGACTTCCTCATGGAATTATATAATAAAATATTTTTTTCTTTTAAATGCCTTTTAGAAAATTATAAAGGTATCTCTAAATGCTAAGTAAATGGGAGCACTTTAATATTAACACAGCAGTGCGCTCTCTGTAAATAAAATGATTGACTGTTAATTCAGCTTACAGCATAGATTTGACATTTTAAAAAGTTTTAAAATTTTAAGACTTAGTGATAAACATTTGACACCCATGCTGCTGTTACATTTTTTCAAAGTTGTGCTGCGTTGATTTTTTTTTAACATACATTCTGTTATTCTATGACCCATTAGATTAATAATGTAAATAATGAGGAAAATAACTTAATCACTAAGACAATATACTTCCCTGGGCCTTCTAAACATCAGCAATAAGGTTGGATCTTACCCTGGCAATCCACAGGTTACAGAATAAACCCCTATCTCCCGAGCCACTATCAGCAGACATCCCAACATCCAAGACAGCAAATCTGAAAACTCCTGTTGTCACCTCAAAGGTTACAGCAGGTTAACATGCACAACACACACCTTAAACTTACCTATTGCCATAGTCCTCATTCTCCACAATAACAAATTTGACCGGTACATACTTCAAACCACTGGCATGCACTGACTGCATTAGCATGCAATTTGGCTCCCAATGTGGCACTTTAGCATTTATTACTTGAATAATTGGGACACACTGCTTTATTTTGAAAATTATGTTATGGAAAAAAGGAATGAACATCCAAACCACGCTCAACTTAGTTGCAGGTGTTGACTACTACTGTAAGTTGGTTGATTGAGGGCACCTGCTGAGTTTTTTTTTTACAGCCAAAACACCACCCAACTCCAAATTATTAACACTGAGGAAACAACACAGCAAATTTTCAGTTTCCATACGGTAGGTAGTGTGACATTACAGATATTTATTTCCTACAGGATGGCATGTACTTAAATTCCACCTTTTCAAGTCAGGGTATTCCAAAGGGCTTCAAACAACAGTCTGTCATTTACCCATTCAAACATTTATCCTCCGGTGTAAACCACTTAGTTTTGTGTTGGAACACACCCTTCGGTTATGCAGAGGAACCACCATTCCTCTGCAAATCCAGCTGCGCTATCCCTGACCTCCATGTGATGTTTAAGAGACATGTCAGCCCGACAAAATCAAGATATCTAAGGTACTTAGGAAGGATCTGGTTCACAGTTCCATAGACTATGAGAATAAATTTGTTTCTCAATCAATTGCAATTGGACTTTCTAATCATTAATTATATTTAAGTACTTGTTAGGCAAAAAGGGGATAAGATTTTTGTGTACAATTTGCAATTTATAAACAATGTAACCTAACCACAAATTAAGTGCTATAAAAGTACAGGCCATTTACTGTTTAACCATGTAAACTATTGCTGGTGAAAAATTTGTTTGATGGTTCTTTTTTTTTTAAGAATTTTAATTTCTCCTCTTATTTGTTACAACTATTGATTATTGATGAACAGTTAAAGTGAAACCTCCTTTTTTACTTTCATATCTTTTCCTTCATGAAATGAACCAGAAGGATATTTTTTTTGGCTTCCTAAAAAGTTAATTTTACTTTACAAAAGTAAATGTTACATTTTGCATTTTTAACTTTTCTTATATTCAAGTAAAATGTCTATTGCATATTTTTTTTTTTACCTCAGCATGGCATCAGGTACTGTACAGGAATTATCTAACGCTGTGATATGACAATTATTAAGATTTATGATCTTTCAGGACTTAATTCAGAAAAATATGACCATCCATTCTGAGCCTCCTGCTTCTCTATTATAATTATGTGAAGCCATCATTATTAAATCCAGATCTTCATGTTGCCTTCATGTTTGTTTGTTAGAACCAAGTTGAAAAAAGGTGAATAGAGGTGTAAAAACACAATAGTTGACTACAACAGGATGGTTTGCTTATTCAGTATGTAGAGAATGATTTATGCATTTCCCTGGAGATGGTTAGGAGCTACCAAAAAAAAATAAATAATAACTGTTGAGGTTCGGGGCTTTAAGAGATGGCCAGTCGTTTCTTTTTCTTTGTCCCAGGACTGCTGATCAGCCTCATTGATCTGGGAAGGCAGCCAGTTGGCTTTAGTGTGCTGTTTTAAATGATGAGAGCAAACCACAACCTCGACATGCAGATTAAGTTTTCCTTGATTCTGGAGAGACTAATAGAAGCAACTTTGGGTTACCATTAGGGCGTTAGGATATTTATTTCACTCTTAATTGGAATACAATCAAGTGTCAGGCTCAGAAAAGTAGAATCCAGTATTCAATGTGGACAAGCAGTTTGATATCTTTAAATGTTAATTGAAAACTGAACCAGAGTGAAGGACTTTGTCTTCTAAGGCAGGAACCCCTGCAGGTGAAGACAACAGGTTAGTGACCACGTCTTTCTGGAAGTGTCACTAACCTGGTCTTATAGTTCAGTCGGAGGCCAGAGGGTGAGGATGGTTACAGTTGGCTAGCTACCAACGTGGCGCGGCGGTCACCGCACAGAGAGTCCCAGACACTGATGTATCGGTGGTACAAGGACAGGCAGGAGATCAGAACCAAGCAGATTAATGTAGGAAGGATAATGCAGAGGGCGAAGCTTAAGCAGATGTCCTGGAAGTGCTCAGTAGTCAGAGCTAGGAGGTAAGTTGTCTGGTGAGGTGCTGAAGAAGAATCCAGTACAGAGTGGGGGTCACGGTTCCAGATATAGTATACGAACAGGCAGATATCTGGAAGGAGTCAGAAGAAAGGTCAGGCAAACAGATCAGACAGGAACAGGAAGGCTCAGAGGTCGAGAGGCAGAAGAGGCTCAATATTGTGTGTGGCCTCCATTTGTCTACATGACCTCCTTACAACGCCTTGGCATGCTCCGATGAGGTGCAGATGGTCTCCTGAGGGATCTCCTGCAAAACCTTGACTAAAGCATAAGCCAAACCCTGTACAGTCTGTGGTGCAATGTGACATTTTTGGATTCATGGGGATATGATCTCCCAGATCAGATTCAGGTCTGGGGAACAAGTGGGCCAGTTCATAGCTTCAAAGCCCTAATCTTGCAGGAACTGCTGACACATTCTAGCCACATGAGGTCTAGCATTGTCCTAGAGGGCAAGGCCAACCGCACAAGGAGCCTGATACCTAATACCTAATTCCACCCTCAATTTGATCCCCATACGGCGAGAACTTGAAGGCCTGTTTTGCCCTTCAAAGAAATGCCACCCCACACCATTACTAAACCATTGCCTGACCAGTCATGTTGAAGGATGTTGTAGGCAGCAGATTGCTCTCCTCGATATCTCCAGACTCTGTTACATGTGCTCAGTTTTAAACTGCTTTAAACTGTTAGGAGTATAGGCCATCAATGGCGAATTTGCCAATCCTGGTGTTCTCCTGGTGGCAATTGCCACAGCTTGCAACGATGTGCCATCCTGGATAAGCTGCACTACCTGGTACTGAGGAATGGTCTCCACCTGCATTTCTGAGTGCGTCTTGCTAATTGCCATTAATTTTCACATGTTGTCTATTCCATTTGCACAGCATTATGTGAAATTGATTGTCAACCAGTGTTGCTTCCTAAGTGGAGTTTTATTTCATAGAAGTTTGAACTGATTGAAGTTATATTGCGTTGTTACTTGTTCCCTTGATTTTTTCGAGCAGTTTATATATTTCTGTTTTTCATGTGTGTTATTGGTGTTTTCTCCTCTGATAAACAGCTCTCTCAAAGGTCCATTACATCAGACAAAGGTCATCACTTTTTCATTTCAAATCAATACCTTTATTCTTCCTTTAAAATATTTTTCCAAAAAAGCTTCCCTGCTCAAGGCTTTAATTAATGCAGAAAAAGGACACTTTCTCTTAAAATTTACTTCACAGACAGATGTCCTGACATTTTCTTGCGGCACAAAGTGATGCTCTACATCTAAACCAATTTTTTCCTTCAGAAATCTTGCTGTTTTATGCAATCTATAGAGTTCTCCACAAAGACGGATATCCATTGTGACCGAGGCCTTCTGTTTCTCTTTTTACCTGCATTATGTAATTTTTTTTTCTTTTTTTAACCTTGAAGATTTTAAACAAGCTGTTGAAATGATTGTTGTTTGCCGACCTCTCCTGGGGAGGGTGACAATGGTCTTAAATGTCTGCCACTTTCAATCATTTTTGCAACCTTTTCAGGCCTAATGATTACCAACATATTTTTACTGGAGCCCTTGAGAAGCTTTATTGTTACCACAATAAACTTCTGCAAAGTATTATG